GGTTCATGAAGATATTAGTGTTGGTAGTTTCAAGGTGTTGGTTGTGTTTATGGTGAGGAAGATGGAAGTTGTTATTAAGGTGTAGATGAGGAAGGCTAGTAGGGTTAGTTTTGGGTTGTAGATAATAATGATGGCTATTCAGCCTAAGTGGGAGATGGAAGAGAAGGCTATGATTTTTCGGGTTTGTGTTTGGTTGAGTCCCATTCAGCCGCCCAGGGCAATGGATATGATGGATATGGTGATGAGTAGTGTGGGGTTTAGTGAGTGTGATGTTAGAAGTAGGAGGGAGGTGGGTGGGAGTTTTATTGCTGTTGATAGGAGGAGGGCTGTGATGAGGGAGGATCCTTGGAGTACTTCTGGGAATCAGAAATGGAATGGGGTTAGGCCTAGTTTGGTGGCAATTGCAGTGGTTAGTAGAAGTTGTGAGGGTGGGTGGGTGAGTTGAGTGATGTCTCATTGTCCGGTGGATTGTGCGTTGATTATGCTTGAGAAGAGTAATAGTGCGGAGGCGGCTGCTTGTACGAGGAAGTATTTGGTTGCGGCTTCAATGGCTCGTGGGTGATGGGGTTTGGAGATTAGGGGGATGATGGCTAGGGTGTTAATTTCTAATCCTGTTCAGGCTATTATTCAGTGGTTGCTTGTGACGGTGATTGTTGTCCCTAGGAGTAGACTTGTGATTGAGATAAGTTTTGTGAGGGGACTCATTAGTAGGGGAGGGAGTTGAACCATCATTTTCGGGGTATGGGCCCGATAGCTTTGTTAGCTGACCTTACTAGGAAATAATATAAAGGAAGTATGGAGGATTTTGATTCCTTTTGTGTAGGTTCGATTCCTGCTTTTCTAAGGTTTGAGTTAGGAAATGAGAGGGTTGGTATACCTCTATGTTCACTTTATCACAGTGATCCTTACATTCAGGCACATTTCCTTAGGTAAGGAGGTAGGCCCGCGTAAGAGATTGGTATGCTAGTGTGTCAGAGGTGGAGAGATAGGGTTAGGGGGAGGAAGTTTTTTCAGAGGAGGTGTATGAGTTGGTCGTATCGGAATCGTGGATAGGATGCTCGGATTCATAGGAAGCTTGAGGAGAGGAGTAGGGTCTTTGTGGCCAGGATGAGTGGGAATAGTTCTGAGGGTGGGTTTAATGTGCTTGGGTTTAGGAATAGGAGGGTGGTTAGTGTGTTTATTAGTATAATGTTTGTGTATTCAGCTAGGAAGAACAGGGCGAATGGTCCTGCGGAGTATTCTACATTGAAGCCGGAGACTAGTTCAGATTCTCCTTCTGTGAGGTCGAAGGGGGAGCGGTTTGTTTCAGCTAGTGTTGAGATGTATCATATTATGGCGAGGGGTCAGGAGGAGAATATGAGGTATAAAGGTTCTTGTAGTGTGGTGAGGGTGGTTATAGTGTAGTTTCCGCTTAATGTGATTACGGATAGGAGGATGATGGCTAGTGTAACTTCATAGGAGATGGTTTGGGATACTGCTCGTAGTGCGCCGATTAAAGCATATTTTGAGTTTGATGCTCATCCTGATCATAGGATTGAGTAGACTGCTAGGCTGGATATTGCTAGGAGGAAGAGGAGGCCTAGGTTTAGGTCTGCGAGAGAGAATGGGAGGGGGAGGGGTGCTCAGATTGTTAGTGCGAGGAGGAGGGCTAGTATTGGGGTTGTGATGAATAGGAGTGGGGAGGATGTGGAGGGGCGGATTGGTTCTTTAATGAATAATTTGATTCCGTCGGCTATGGGTTGTAGAAGTCCAAAGGGGCCTACGATGTTTGGGCCTTTTCGGGATTGTATGTAGCTTAGGATTTTTCGTTCAATTAATGTGAGGTATGCTACGGCGATTAGGATTGGGACTATGTAGGATAATATTATGATGGGGTAGGTTGGGGGAATGTTTGGTCAGATCATAGTGGGAGCTAGAGAGAGGATTTGAACCTCTGGAGTAAAGGGTTTAAGTCTTTTGCATTTGCCGGGCTCTGCTACACTAGCGGCCATTTTCGGGGGGGGTAATTTTGGTTCCTTTGGTGATTTAGTTGGGGGCATCACTTGGGGAGAGGGCGTGCTTGGGGTATTGGCCCTACTTTTCCGGTCCTTTCGTACTAGGAAGAGTTAAATCATAGATAGAAACCGACCTGGATTGCTCCGGTCTGAACTCAGATCACGTAGGACTTTTAATCGTTGAACAAACGAACCCTTGGTAGCGGTTGCACCACTAGGATGTCCTGATCCAACATCGAGGTCGTAAACCTCCTCGTCGATAGGGGCTCTTGGAGGAGATTGCGCTGTTATCCCTGGGGTAGCTTGGTTCGTTGGTCAATTTTATTGGGTCTGTATGCTGTTAGCACGTTGAGGGGTTGCTCTTAGTTAAGGGTTGTGGCCCTAGTTTTTGGAGGATTTGTTGTTCTCCAGGGTCGCCCCAACCTAAAAATATTAGCCAGTGTGTTAGATTAGTGGGCCTAGGTAGGTTTGGTTTTGGGTGTGTGGTGGCTATTGATTTTGAAGTTCCACAGGGTCTTCTCGTCTTATGTGTTCATCCCTGCTTTTGCACGGGGAGATCAGTTTCACTGATTGCCTGCAGGAGACAGTTAAGACCTCGTTTAGCCATTCATACAAGTCTCGATTTATGGGACAATTGATTGCGCTACCTTTGCACGGTTAGGATACCGCGGCCGTTGAACGTCACTGGGCAGGCATCACCTTCAATACTTGTTTGGCTGAAGGCTATGTTTTTGGTAAACAGTCGGGCCTTGGGTTTGCTGAGTTCCTTTTGCAGGTTTAAATCGTCCTAGTTGAGCGCTCCTGGGTTGGGTTGACGGGGTGTGTTCAATGTTTTGGGCGTGGGTGGGGGTTGTGGCATTGTTGTGCTGTTAATGGTGTCTAGGCTGGCGCTTGAGGGGATATAATTATCCTGGTTACTCGTTCTAGCATTAGTTCATCTATTGTTATAGGTTGGCCTGCTGGAGGTGTAGGGAGTCGCATTGTTTGTGGATTTTTTAAGGTTGTGGAGCTTTGACGCACTCTTTGGGGGTGGCTGCTTTAAGGCCCACGGGTAAGGTTGATGTGGGGAGTTATCCGCTAGTGGAGGTTGTGTCCTTTGTCAAAGGGGCTGTACCCCCTTTGGGTAGCTCTTAGCCTGTTACATGTGGGTTTGTGTTGTCTAGTCCGGGTGGAAGGGGCTAAGGAGGAACTTAAATTCGTCTTGCAGGCAACCAGCTATCACCCGGCTCGGTTGGCTTTTCACCTCTACTAACAAGTCGCCCCACTCTTTTGCAACAGAGACGGGTTGGTTCAGTGTAACTGCTCGTGAGTAGCTCGCTCGGGTTTCGGGGTGGCAGGCTCAAGTTCTCTTTGTCTGGCTGTTCTTGCTAGATCATGATGCAAGAGGTACAAGGATTTATCTTTGCTGTGTGGTGCTTGGTTTTCATTGTTATTTCATCCTTCCCTTACGGTACTGTATCTATAGCGTCCGGGTTACTTTTCTATCGCCTATACTGGGTTTGGGGTAATGTTTTAGTTTACAGGAGTAGTGGGTTCTTGATTGTGGTTGGTGGAGCTAGAGTGGGCTTCAAGGTGATCCGATGTGTGGCGGATATCTTTCAGGTGTAAGCTGAATGCTTTGTGTTGTAGCTACGCCTTGATATGCTAAGTGCACCTTCCGGTACACTTACCTTGTTACGACTTGCCTCATCTTCAGCTGTTTGTTGTGGTATTAGTTAATGTGTTAAAGGGCTTGTGAAGAGGGTGACGGGCGGTGTGTACGTGCCCTAGGACCGGCTTAAAGGGGGCTTAATTATCCCCTTTTACTGCTAAATCCGCCTTCTAGAGGCAGGTTTCAGGCCTCTTTTCGTTGAGTATGTTCTATTTTAGAAAATGTAGCCCATTTCTTCCACTCCATGGGCTATACCTTGACCTGTCTTGTTAGCGGGTAGATTGGTGGGCTTATTGGGCTCACTGTTGTGCTCTCATGAAGGTGGGCTGACGACGGCGGTATGTAGGCTGTTTTGGCAAGGAGTGGTCGGGTGTATCGTGGATTATCGATTATAGAACAGGCTCCTCTAGGTGGGTTTAGGGCACCGCCAAGTCCTTAGAGTTTTAAGCGTTTGTGCTCGTAGTTCTCGGGCGGATGTTTGTGTATGGGAAACATCAAGATTTAGGGCTAGGCATAGTGGGGTATCTAATCCCAGTTTGTGTCCTAGCTTTCGTGAGGTGAGATAGATCATGGAAGTTAAGATCGTTTTTGGGTTGGGTTTCTGAATGTCTTAGGCTTATGACAGCTGGGTTTAGATTTAATCTTAGTTGGCTTGTGATAATCTGGGATCACTCTTTACGCCGTGTGCGGTTAATTTGGGCCTCTTGTATAGCCGCGGTGGCTGGCACAAGATTTACCGGCCCTGGGTTGCTCTAACTAAGTCAGGCTTGCGCCTATTGCTTAATGTTAACTACTGCTGAATGCCCGTGGGGGTGTGGCTGGACGAGGTGTCTTGGGCTACGGTGATTGTAGGTGTGCCTGATACCTGCTCCTTTTGTAGCCAGAGATATAAAAATACACTCAAAATCTACCCGCTAACAATGCCTAAAGACAGGTCAGTCCGGTATAGCCAGAGGCAAAACTCTAGGAGTGGTGCCCTAAATGGAAGCCTGCTATAAACCTTCCACATTTTCTGAGCCCAATAAGCCCAAAATAGAACATACCAGTGGAAGAGGCCTGAAACCTCCTCTGAAGGCGGATTTAGCAGTAAAAGGGGATAAAGACAGAGCCCGTATCTTCACAAGCCCTTTAACACATTAACTAATACCACAACAAACAGCTGAAGATGAGGCAAGTCGTAACAAGGTAAGTGTACCGGAAGGTGCACTTAGCATATCAAGGCGTAGCTACAACACAAAGCATTCAGCTTACACCTGAAAGATATCCGCCACACATCGGATCACCTTGAAGCCCACTCTAGCTCCACCAACCACAATCAAGAACCCACTACTCCTGTAAACTAAAACATTACCCCAAACCCAGTATAGGCGATAGAAAAGTAACCCGGACGCTATAGATACAGTACCGTAAGGGAAGGATGAAATAACAATGAAAACCAAGCACCACACAGCAAAGATAAATCCTTGTACCTCTTGCATCATGATCTAGCAAGAACAGCCAGACAAAGAGAACTTGGAGCCTGCCACCCCGAAACCAAGCGATTACTCACGAGCAGTTACACTGAACCAACCCGTCTCTGTTGCAAAAGAGTGGGGCGACTTGTTAGTAGAGGTGAAAAGCCAACCGAGCCGGGTGATAGCTGGTTGCCTGCAAGACGAATTTAAGTTCCTCCTTAGCCCCTTCCACCCGGACACAACACAAACCCACATGTAAAGGACACAACCTCCACAAAGGACACAACCTCCACACATCAACCTTACCCGTGGGCCTTAAAGCAGCCACCCCCAAAGAGTGCGTCAAAGCTCCTTAAAAAATCCACAAACAATGCGACTCCCTACACCTCCAGCAGGCCAACCTATAACAATAGATGAACTAATGCTAGAACGAGTAACCAGGATAATTATATCCCCTCAAGCGCCAGCCTAGACACCATTAACAGCACAACAATGCCACAACCCCCACCCACGCCCAAAACATTGAACACACCCCGTCAACCCAACCCAGGAGCGCTCAACTAGGACGATTTAAACCTGCAAAAGGAACTCAGCAAACCCAAGGCCCGACTGTTTACCAAAAACATAGCCTTCAGCCAAACAAGTATTGAAGGTGATGCCTGCCCAGTGACTTACGTTCAACGGCCGCGGTATCCTAACCGTGCAAAGGTAGCGCAATCAATTGTCCCATAAATCGAGACTTGTATGAATGGCTAAACGAGGTCTTAACTGTCTCCTGCAGGCAATCAGTGAAACTGATCTCCCCGTGCAAAAGCAGGGATGAACACATAAGACGAGAAGACCCTGTGGAACTTCAAAATCAATAGCCACCACACACCCAAAACCAAACCTACCTAGGCCCACTAATCTAACACACTGGCTAATATTTTTAGGTTGGGGCGACCCTGGAGAACAACAAATCCTCCAAAAACTAGGGCCACAACCCTTAACTAAGAGCAACCCCTCAACGTGCTAACAGCATACAGACCCAATAAAATTGACCAACGAACCAAGCTACCCCAGGGATAACAGCGCAATCTCCTCCAAGAGCCCCTATCGACGAGGAGGTTTACGACCTCGATGTTGGATCAGGACATCCTAGTGGTGCAACCGCTACCAAGGGTTCGTTTGTTCAACGATTAAAAGTCCTACGTGATCTGAGTTCAGACCGGAGCAATCCAGGTCGGTTTCTATCTATGATTTAACTCTTCCTAGTACGAAAGGACCGGAAAAGTAGGGCCAATACCCCAAGCACGCCCTCTCCCCAAGTGATGCCCCCAACTAAATCACCAAAGGAACCCCACATACCCCCCCGAAAATGGCCGCTAGTGTAGCAGAGCCCGGCAAATGCAAAAGACTTAAACCCTTTACTCCAGAGGTTCAAATCCTCTCTCTAGCTCCCACTATGATCTGACCAAACATTCCCCCAACCTACCCCATCATAATATTATCCTACATAGTCCCAATCCTAATCGCCGTAGCATACCTCACATTAATTGAACGAAAAATCCTAAGCTACATACAATCCCGAAAAGGCCCAAACATCGTAGGCCCCTTTGGACTTCTACAACCCATAGCCGACGGAATCAAATTATTCATTAAAGAACCAATCCGCCCCTCCACATCCTCCCCACTCCTATTCATCACAACCCCAATACTAGCCCTCCTCCTCGCACTAACAATCTGAGCACCCCTCCCCCTCCCATTCTCTCTCGCAGACCTAAACCTAGGCCTCCTCTTCCTCCTAGCAATATCCAGCCTAGCAGTCTACTCAATCCTATGATCAGGATGAGCATCAAACTCAAAATATGCTTTAATCGGCGCACTACGAGCAGTATCCCAAACCATCTCCTATGAAGTTACACTAGCCATCATCCTCCTATCCGTAATCACATTAAGCGGAAACTACACTATAACCACCCTCACCACACTACAAGAACCTTTATACCTCATATTCTCCTCCTGACCCCTCGCCATAATATGATACATCTCAACACTAGCTGAAACAAACCGCTCCCCCTTCGACCTCACAGAAGGAGAATCTGAACTAGTCTCCGGCTTCAATGTAGAATACTCCGCAGGACCATTCGCCCTGTTCTTCCTAGCTGAATACACAAACATTATACTAATAAACACACTAACCACCCTCCTATTCCTAAACCCAAGCACATTAAACCCACCCTCAGAACTATTCCCACTCATCCTGGCCACAAAGACCCTACTCCTCTCCTCAAGCTTCCTATGAATCCGAGCATCCTATCCACGATTCCGATACGACCAACTCATACACCTCCTCTGAAAAAACTTCCTCCCCCTAACCCTATCTCTCCACCTCTGACACACTAGCATACCAATCTCTTACGCGGGCCTACCTCCTTACCTAAGGAAATGTGCCTGAATGTAAGGATCACTGTGATAAAGTGAACATAGAGGTATACCAACCCTCTCATTTCCTAACTCAAACCTTAGAAAAGCAGGAATCGAACCTACACAAAAGGAATCAAAATCCTCCATACTTCCTTTATATTATTTCCTAGTAAGGTCAGCTAACAAAGCTATCGGGCCCATACCCTGAAAATGATGGTTCAACTCCCTCCCCTACTAATGAGTCCCCTCACAAAACTTATCTCAATCACAAGTCTACTCCTAGGGACAACAATCACCGTCACAAGCAACCACTGAATAATAGCCTGAACAGGATTAGAAATTAACAC